TCTCTTTCCTCCACTCCCTTCTCTGTAATTAACTCTTTTCTTTCTTTTTTTCTTTTTATTTGTAATGTGACTGCTGACATATCAGCATGTATTTATTGTTAAAATTTGGCAAAAATGACTGTATTTCTTTGTTTGCTAAGTCTAATTTACCTATATTTTAATTTATTTAAGAAAGGTTTTAAAAAGCCAAAATCTAAGAGAAACGTTATCATAATTTGTATAGACTAGTTTATTGATTCTAACACTGAAGAGGGAAGGAAATAGAAAACTTTGGGGGCATATTGCGTCTTTTTTATTTTAAAAAAGGTAAAAATGGTCAAAAATGGTTTTGTGTTGAAGGTTTCTCGTTTAAAGGTGCTCCACGGCCAGGTAAATCAGCTTGATAGAAATCAAATGATGTTATTTACTTGAAAATAATGTTTTATGTTCCAGGTGATAACCCCTATATTCAAAATATCCAATTCAAACTTTTGAACCATTTCAATCATGCTAGTCATTTTTATGTGTGGCTTCCACACAAACAAACAAAAATTACTAGATTTTTATTTAATGTACTATTTAACAGCAACAAAAGTGTTTCGTTTTCTTTTCTTTCTTTTTTTTAATCATTTCACCCGAGCAAGGCGACAATGCGATTAAGACACAAGGGGATTACTAGGAGTGAAAGTTAATGAGAAAGCTTTAGTGAGGGGAAAGGACAATAAAATAACAAGGTTCAAGAAGATAGAAGATAACAATTGATGTTACATTTAAATTTTTGAAGATTGTAGGTTACAGGTAAACAGGAAATCGAATGAGAATTCCACAGGTGAGAAGTGCCAAAAAAGAAACTATTACAATTCGACTTACGGTTAGACGCAGCTGCTTCAACAGTAAAAAAATGATACCTAGTAGTCAGCCAAGTAGGCCGCTAAAATTCATGCGGTCGAGGTACCAAGGCAGAGAACTACCATGAAAATATTTCTGTCTATATTTCTAAGATGAAGTATTGTAATTATTTACATGAGTTACATTGTTCGGACTGTTGTCTTCATCTTTATTGCCATATTTACGGCGTTTCGGTCGTTACACGCTCCGTCATTCTTCGGGTGAATTTTCAAACTGATCTGTTTATTTCGTCCACCGCGGTAGATTATTCAAGTTCCACGTACCATGCCTCAGTTATCTCCCTTTATCTCAACTCTCCAAGTTTTCGTTCATCACTGCAGGACATATGTCCATTGGATAAAGGTGTTGGTTGGACCCAGTGACTTTACCCAAAGAGTTGTGAGTTAAACTCCTAGCTACTGCAGAAGATCGAGTTCAGTTAAAGGGAGATAACTGAGACATCCGGAAGAGGCATGGCGCGTGAAACTAGAACAATCTACCTCCGTGGGTGAAATAAAGGTTTCAGTTCGAAATTCTAATCACCTGGAGAAGGCCGGAGCGTACAACGACCGAAACGTCGTGAATATGGCAATAAAGATGGAACAACAGTCCGAACAATGTAAATAATGAAAATATTTATAGAAAAGACAGAGAGAAGCCAGGTCACGGTGGTGGGAAAGTGACTGGAGTCGAGAGGCTAGGTCAGAACCAATAACATTAACAGATCATTCTTTGGATCTTGTCAAGAATATTGAGATATATAGCCAAAGCACCAGACCAGATATGTCACCAATATTCAATAAACAGATGAATCGTAGAATCGTAAATGTGCAAGATGGATTCTGACGAGAGAAAAATGTCTGGCACGAGAGAGTGAACCAACATTCCCAGCAGCAGACCTAGCAAGTGATTCAATATAATCGATCAATAAAAAAAAGTGAAATCAAGAAGACGTGATGAGTTGCTTTTCTGAGGATTAGCATCAGCCATGCTGATGGAGAGCAAAAATAGGAGAAAGTTTCATTTTAAGCCTGTCAACTGCCTTAAAGATATCTGAAGCCAGAACCCAAACCTCGCCATTTTTATCTAAAGCCTGAAATTTAGTAATAACATATATATATATATATATATATATATATATATATATATATATATATATATATATATATATAATAAAAAAGGCTTAAACACTAGTGTTTAAGTTTTTTATTATATATCCTTACTCTGTCCTGGACATAGAGTTCTACCTGGATTCTATCCTCTTGGAATTTTTTATTAAAAAATATATATGTATTTGTAAGCACCTATGTGTATATATATTTATATATTTTGCATATGTGTATGTATATTTACCACTAATATTATCTATCTATCTATATATATATATATATATATATATATATATATATATATATATATATATATATATATATATATATAGATAGAGATGTAAGCAACTATATGGGTATAGATCCATGACAGTGAATGAAGAAAAAATATATCTTCAAAAATAAAACAAAATCATTATATTTGATTATGTTATATTTATGAACGTGTTATAATGTTATATTTATGAATATGTCCTGAAGATGGTATATTAGACTGAAACGTCAGACGTTGACATATTAACATTAAAACAACATAATCGTATTGATTTTGTTTTTTTTTCCGTATATTTTTTTCATATATATATATATATATATATATATATATATATATATATATATATATATATATATATGACCTAGAAAAGCGAAAAAAAAGCCATGTTGTTAATTTGAAAGAAGGTAGTGAGAAGTGAGATTCTTAACCAATCTGGAGTTGATTAGATCGCCTAGTACTTTACCAAAAATAAATTAAAGACTAATAGAACGATATTTTGAGAGGTCAGAAGGTTCTTCAGAGTTCTTAAAAACAGGAACTACAGAAGAGTAATCCAACAAGGTGTAAATCAAGAAGCAGAAAGGTATTCGTTGAAGAGTTTGATGAGAACAGGAAACACATTTCCTTAGGACAATTACAGAGATAGTGTAAGAGCAATGAACCGTGGATAGATTACAGTAGAGCGCAACGCAATGTATTATAGGGTAACTGAAATAAATAATCAAAGAGTGCCAAAATCTAATCTTCAAAAGAATGTGATACTGTGTAAACAGCAGTCTTTTGTAAAGTATTCTTTAGTCGAGGAAACCAGTCAATAACCATGAAGTTAAGAGATTTTAATTTGTTTGTAGAATATGTTAAATCTTTTTGTTATCTACAGGAATTAAATACGTACGGGTTATATTTCTTACTAGCAGTAGAGCCCGGCGTTGCCCGGGGATATAACAGTTAGAGATAGATCAAGTATCGACCATCATAAAGACTGAAAAATAAAATTGACAAAGATTATTGTTTAAGATTGACGGACACGCATGTCTTAATTAGTTTTTTTTGTTTGTTTTTTTTTTTTAGTTTTTTTTGTTTTTTGGGGGTTTTTTTTAATGAATTGGTCAAACTAAAACAAAAACATTGTTTTCAATCGTTATGAGTCTATTGATAAAATAGAATTTTATTATAAACAATTGTCTTGTAAATAGAATTTTTAAAGCATTCTGAATGTAAAAATAAAGTAAAAAGTGTGCAAGACAATAAGAAGCACTACCTGCCAAAAAAAGTGAAGTTTTGTTGAAATCGGTTGAAAAATGTAGGAAATCCGATCCCATATATAAAGGAACACACAACAAACAAAGGGTTTTATAATAAGTATAACTCGATATGAGTTGTCACCCTTTCATTCTGGCGACTTAATCGGGTTTTCAAAATGATTTCGTGCAAAAACAATTTTTGGCGCTGTCAGAACCACCGCAAGGTAATTTTACGCAGTCCTGTGAACTTTTGTTGAAATAAGTTGAAAAATGTCGGAAATCCGATCCAATATATAAACGTACACACACACACACACACACACACAATTTGCGTTTTATAATAAGTGAGATTACTTTTTGCTTTTTGTATATATTATTATATATATATTATTATATATTATTATATATATTATCATATATATATAATATTATTATATATTAAAATTTTTTATTATTAAATACGTACGGGTTATATTTTTATTGCGTTTTATTATTACATTATATATCATTATTATTATTATATATATATATATATATATATATATATATATATATATATATATATATTATATTATATTATTATTATTATATATTCAAATTTTATTATTATTAAATACGTACGGGTTATATTTCTTATTGAGTTTTATTATTATATATTATATATTATTATTATTATATATTATATATTATCATTATTATATATTAAAATTTTATTATTATTGAATACGTACGGGTTATATTTATTTTTGCGTTTTATTATTATATATTATATATTATTATTATTATTATTATTATTATAGATTATTATTTTTATTATTATTATTATTATATATTAAAATTTTATTATTATTAAATACGTACGGGTTATATATCTTATTACTTTTTGTTTTTATATAATTGGAGTGCGCCTGATTTCATTAAAATAATTTAATATTATTTTGTTTTCGATTAAACCTGTTTTATTATGTTACTCTGATTAATTGGAAAAAAATATAATTTTATTTGATCATTAACGGCGTGACTGGGAATCTTTTCATTTAATATTGGATAATTATTTGCAGATTATTTTTGTACAGTAAGAGATTAATTTTGCACGGTTGATAAGACGAGGATTAAGACTGCAATCTTATATCGGTAAATATATTCGTTTACAATAACATCTAGTGAAATTATGCGTTTGTGTATGTGTCCGACCAAGATATTTAGATACTTAAAACCATATTTATTCTAATTGTTTGGCTGTTTTTGTTTAACGCCATAACAACCTCTATGTGTTATTTAGTACCGAAATCTAAATATTTTGTACGCAATTGGGGGGGGGGAAGATAGTTTTAGTGATACAAGTCTTACTAATTAACCCATAGCTGGAGGGAGAAGAGGTGGATTCATACCTTTCTCAAAGGTATTTGCTGGTAAGTGAATATGACGAACCCGATAGAAATTGAAATTCGGCTCTCAGATTAACATTTTCGAACCGTTATCCATTACCCCAGTTGCACGTCGAAGCTTACAACACCTGGTATTCCGAAGCCGTCACCCATCTAAGTACTGACCAGCCTCGACCTTGCTTAACTCTGGTGATCGTACATGATGTGGCTGTAAGCCTCATATAGACTCGGCATGGTCTGAGGAAGATTTTGATAAACAATTTATTAGGTTGAGTCATAAGTAATTTCCGTTTTTGTTTATCTACTTTTCTCTTCAAAAAATTATTTTATTTTCTTAACTATTCACCATTATTTGCAATGACCTGATTTCACTTTATCAAGCGGCTCTTCGGTACCTTTTTAGGTTACATTAGAGAAATAATAATAATAATACCGGCTGAAACTGCAAAATACCTAAAAAAGACAGCAAAGACGAATGCAACCGATCAGCTACAGAAGCGATAGCAAGATAAACCGCTTCATGGCCAATACTCTGCCCGTACCAAACAAGCTGATGTAGACAAACCCGTACCCATCAGTGGCTACGTAGTGCAGGGTTGAAAGCGGAAACTGAAGGTTTTATCCTTGTTGCAGCAGGACCAATGCTTGCTAACTAGGAATTATCAAGCACATATACTAAAATATTGTGTCAGCCGAAAATGCAGATTCTGTGATAAATATCCAGAAACGATTGATCATCTTGTATCAGGTTGTACGCTATTGGCACCCACTGAATATAAAACCCGACATGACACAGTGGGCCAATATCTGCACCTTCTACGGGAAGGAAACTGAAAGAAACTGGTATGAACACCACCCAGACCCGGTTACGGAGATAGGACCTGTTACAATTCTATGGGACTACACAATACACTCTGACAGAACAATCAAGGCCAACCGGCCAGATATTGTTATTAAAGACCACAAACAAAAAACGATGCCTCCTTATTGATATGGCAGTCCCTGCTGACTGCAATGTATCTTTGAAGATATTCAAAAAAGTTGTCAAAGCACAAGGACCTTGAAATAGAAATCTCGAAAATGTGGCATATGGGGAACATCAACAATCTCTGTTGTAGTTGGAGCCCTAGGACTGGTTGGAAAGATTGCAGTAGACTAATTGAAGGGATTCCTGGAAGTCCATGCCTCAAGGAGATACAAAAATTGTTCTGACAAGTACAGCCCACACCTTACGAAGGGCTTTATCTATGTAATTTAATTCTTTTTTTTTTTTTTTTTTTTTGTCTGTGGAAAGTGTCATGACGCTATTTTTAACCTAAAGAACCAAGGGACCCGGAAAGAAATGTGTAAACGCCAGAAATCAAAGAAAATAAAAACAATAATAATAATAATAATAACCGTTTTAGGGAGGCACGGTGGAGTAATGGATAGCGGCTCAGAGTTCGAATTCCAGTCAAATCCATTACATTCACTTACATGCTAATACCCTTGGAAAAGGTATGAATGCCCTTCTTCTCCCCATCCATGGGTAAATAGCAGGACAGACTATAGCCTGGGATGGCAACTGGTCTACCGCAGAAAGAAATAGCAAGTTACTGCGAGGAAAAAAATCTGCCTCGTCAATCATGTATCGAAACCGGTTATTCAGTCAGACATTTATGTGCCTAAGCGTGTATCACGCATGGCGCATAACTGCCTGACTGAATAACCGGTTTGTTGCAAGGTCAGGGGAATATGGCTGATGGTGACAAGAAATTTTTTTCAGTGTTAAACGCTGCCTTATGTTATCATGGAAAACAACATTTTCCTGTTGACAAGCGCAGGGATCTTCTCGACACGTTGTAGATTGTCAGGACTGAGTAGTGAGTTCACTTCTCACTGGGTGCCCCATACTTTCGGCCTTGTGCCACATCTACATTACGCTTAAAAAGTCACTTTAGTACGTAGATTGTGCTGGTAATTCATTTACCAATAGAAATGCTTTAATTCCCAAACACAGAAGACACATGGTGGTCGTTTTCATAATTAATATTATTAAGAGTCGACTTCTTGTTTAATAATATTCATTACGAACACGGCCACGATATGATTTCTGTGTTTGGGAATTAAAATATTTCTATTGCTAAAAAATTGCTAACACAATCTACATATTCAATGAAATCTGTATAAAAGAGGGACTGCTGTTCAAATACACAATTAGAAAGAACTAGAAAGGAGGACATAGATAGATAGATAGATAGATAGATAGATAGATACCAAGAAAGATAGATATATATATTATATATATATATATATATATATATATATATATATATATATATATTAATACACATATACCTACGTTTGTAGTGTAACTTAAAGTTTCATCGTTTCCCAAGTCGTCAGGCACAAATGGCAAATGAACCACCAGTTTTTTTTGTTTTTTTAAATATTGGGTCTCACTGAAGGAACACTAAATTATACGCAGATTCAAAGCTCAAAGTTAATATAAACCCAATACATTATTGCGGTGTAAACATATTTCAGTGCATGTAGAGAAATATTTGGAGAACAAATAAAAAAAAATGATGCAAGCTTAAAGTTTATATGGTATATGTTTCCGTTGGAAAAAAATGATTGAAGTTAAAAAAATTATAATGTTTAAGGCGTAAGCAATATGATTAAAAAGGAAGGGGTAGGCGCAGTGAATTGTATTTTTGTTTATAAATAATCTCTATATTTCAAGTGAGTAATACTGTACAGTATATAAAGCTAACGTTTAATAATAATAGGATATAAACTAAAAAATAAAAGTGTAGATAGACAAAAAAGGCAAAAGGTGAGAAAAAAATTAAAAGAAATTTTTAAACAAAAAATTTAAGAAAAGATGGACGCCGTGTAACCCTTTACTTATTAATAGACGCTTAAATAGTTAAAGGGGGGTAATCAGTACTTAACCTAATATATTTAATGGGCAGTTAAAGTTGGGTTAAAATGGTTTATCTAGAATCAAAATGTATAATGCGACCACCTTAAAATTCGCTTCAAAATGAAATCTTCAGAAATTGCATGATACACGATATATATATATATATATATATATATATATATATATATATATATATATATATATATATATGAGATGTATATATATATATATATATATATATATATATATATATATATATAGCAAGGATAGAAGGAGAGAATAAACAGTCCTATCATCCTGCTATACTACTTAAGAAAGCTGAAATAGATAGATAGATAGATAGATAGATAGATAGATAGATAGATAGATAGATAGAAGCACAATTTAGATAGATAGATAGATAGATAGATAGATAGATAGATAGATAGATAGATATGAACTGACTGAGATAGATAGATAGATAGATAGATAGATAGATAGATAGATAGATAGATAGATAGATAGATAGATATGAACAGACTGAGATAGATAGATAGATAGATAGATAGATAGATAGATAGATAGATAGATAGATAGATATGAACAGACTGAGATAGATAGATAGATAGATAGATAGATAGATAGATAGATAGATAGATAGATAGATAGATAGATACGAGAATGCAAGATGGTTACTGAGAGAGGAGGAAACCAAAAAAACGGTTGCTTGGGAGAAAACCAATTAAAATAGCAGAAGTCAATGAGACAAGGAGACAAAAAGACCAGGAGACAAGGAAATAAAAAAAAACAGGAGACAGACAATGACTACTGACGTTACATTTATAAAGATATTTCCAATTGAACGTTGCATCCGGGCTTCTTCAGAATTTAAGTCGCATTTTTTTTTTTTTTACTCTTCTCTCAGAGTATCCGAACAAAGTATAAAATGTTGTGCTATTCGCGTTAACATGAGAAGAAACGAGACAGGCAAAATCTTCCTCTTTTCTTATGAAGGAATTGATCTTTTGGTGACCCCCCCTCCCCACTGCTGCTAAACAATTAGAACAAATGATTTTTGTTTTGTTTTGTTTTTATTTTCTTCAGGTATTTTTTTCTTCTTTTTCTTTAGAAAGTGAGAACGGAAAACGGACTTTGCGTCTTTCTTCTTTTTTTTTTTTAAGCGGAATAGCCAAAGCGCATATCTATTTTAGAATCCACCTCCGTTGGATATCAATGCGCCTGCTCAACTTCTCCATCGGACTGACTAATCTTTCCCATAATCCCCTCCGAAGTTGTTAACTTGGCTCGGAAATCGATGAAAGTAACGCCAACTGACGCTTCCTATGATTCTCCATTACGTTTACCGAGCTTATTCAAACAGAAATTAGATTAAAGACGACGCCCATCAGTATAACACTTTGCATAATTGATATGGAAGTCTCTCATTATTTTTGTCACTCTCCGTATTATTTTTACTTGTTCTGTCTCTTAACATTAGCCATATTTTCTTAATAGCGTATCTTTGCATCTTTTCCATATTTGTATTAGTTACCGCAATACTTCTTTGGTGAGTATAAATATCATCATTATGAAAATTCGTATTTCTGTAACACATTTATTATTAGTGGTGCTAAGAATAATTCAGTCTGTAATTGTTGCTTCAAATTAGCGTTTCTACTTCCTGAGCTCTATTACTGTTTAACAGCAATGTTAATTATTGTACTCTCTCAGTAACCTCCTAGGTCGCCTGCCATGGCATAATGGCTAATAATCTTACAGACCAATTTTCGAGTATAGCGAGTTCAATCCTCGGGTAATGAAGTGGGTGTGCCGGTGAAACGATAACACGTGACTTGAATCCGCATTACTTAACATTTTATTGGCTCCAATATTGCGTCAGTTACTCTCAGCCAGTCTGTGGTCTGCCATACCACCATCATCGCCTCCACTCCGTCTGGCCCGACGAGCGAACTCTACATACTCGTCTGATGCTTGAGATAAAGACTGCCCGAGCGATTGCTTATATAACCATCTGTCCAACATTCTCATTCTCATTCTTACAATAGCGGATGCACGTGTGAGGCCATGTGCTTCTTCATTCGGTAGCCGGCTTCCTTGGTCTGCTATGAAATCTGATTGCAATATCCTTTCCGACATCATACTGCACTCAGTATTGATTTGGCTTAGTCCTAAGTTAATCTTAGTAGTTTACTATACTCAGCAATACGGCTTGACAAAGATAGTTGTGGATGCTGCTTTTAAGCGATACGCCGGTGACACACGTGGTCCAATGACGGCAATACACGTAAGCTAGGAATTAA